CTTCTATCTGAACTGAAAACAATTTCAGTTCAATTGTAAAAGAATAAGATTCATCACTTGTATGTGTGTATGTATCTGTGTATACACACACACACACACACACACACACACATCTATGTGTTTATGTAGGTATATGTAGGTATATTAAACATGGGGGTAGAAACCAGAACTGAAAAAGCGAAATATTCTAGGCTAATAGCAATAGCAGTAAACATGAATTTGTATACTTTTTCCTGTGAAAATTTCAGTCATACAGAAAAGGAGACATCATTGTACAATGCATACCCGATGACCGTCACCTAGTTTAAATAACTTGACATTTTGCCATATTTACTTCACCTTCATATTTTGTGGCTGAACTACTTTCTCTTAAAGTCAATTACAAACATTAGAGTATTTTAGCCCTTCATGCATGAGTGCATATCTCCAAAAAATTGGGATGTTTTCCTGTACAACCACAATACCATTATCACGTTTAACAAAATTAATTTGAATATAGTCTGTAGCAGGGTGTGAGAACATTTATATATTAATCTGTATTTCAGTTTCCCTAATTGTCTATAAAATGTTTTTTTTCTAGTTGATTCACTTGAGGACTCTGCAGTCAATTTGGTTCTTGATTTATCCCTTGAGTACAGTATTACCCTTCTGTCTGTGGTTTTGCTTTCTGTGGTTCCAGTGATCTGTGGTGAATCCCAGTCCAGAAGCACATGATCCTCTCTCTGCCGTATCAGAAGGTCATTAATAGCCTAATACTACGTTACAGTGTCTACATCACTCACCTCACTTCATCCCATCGTGTAGGTATTTTATCATCTCAGACTATATTATCACCTAATAATATGGTGAGGAATTATGAATTAGTAAATATGTGTTAAATTGCCTTTAGCTGAGATTTTTTTTTAAGACAGTGCTACTTTTCCTCATCCTTTCAGGAAACTGCAGAGTATTTCTAGCAGATTCTTTATTGGCTTGCTTTTATTTTTTTAAAACTGAGATTGCCTGTAAGACGTAGACGCCCCTTGCAGTCAACACTTTATTTTCGAGTTCTGCCAATTAACTTCCTCGTGACTTATCTGAGTCTTAGTTTTCATGAGAAATCCAGCTGTGGGATGGAATTCTTTACATTTTCATTCTCTCCTTGGACTCCTAAGTTAATGGTAAGTTTTTTATTTGAAAATGATGCCAGTAACAGCTTGAACCGAATTTGAAAGTTGGTTGGATTTCCCCCCTGTAATTATGGAGCGCCCACCCCCAGCTGAAGAGCTGTCCTTTAGTCCTCCCCGCTAATACTCTCCCCCAGGCCTGGAGTCAGTAGCCCCTTGGCCAAGATGTCTGACCAGCCTTGTGTCCGACTGTGGGAACCAGGCCTGAAGTCTAGGTGGCCCACAGGTGCTGTAGGCTCTTGGTGGCCCTGCTGAGACCGGTTAGATTTGGAAAGATCTGGCTTATTTTTTAATTTTTAACATTTTCCTCAGCTTTTTATTTTGACATTTTTCAAATTTCCAGGAAATTTGAATATTCAACGAATACAAACATGCACATACATATATACGTATACTTTTCACATAGATTTGCCAGTTAACGTTTTGCCACATTCCCTTTCTCTCTGTACATTAAAGCTTTTTTTGAATAAGCCGTTGAAAATACAGATATAACACTTAACCCCTAAATGGTTCAGCATGTACCGCTAAATACATACAACCTTTATACCATTTTTTCCGCAATACCACTATTGTACCTAAATGCAATTATAATAATTCTATAATGTCATGCATTCTATAGTCTATACTTAAATTTTCTCAATTTTCTCCCAAATGCCTTTATAGCCAGCTAGTTTTGTAGAACTCAAGACCATTTGTCTTCTACAGTTATCCCACATTCTGGCTTTCTACTTCTTTGTGATTAGATTTAGAGTATATACAGATAGTTCTCCCCTGATATTGTGTACTTCTTGTTCCCTCACACCGGGAGGCACATCGTGAGTTTGTTCCACTTATTGATTGTACATCTTATCCCTTGGTTAAAACTAGTAACCGCTAGACCTCTTTATTGTAAAAGGAACTTCTTCCCCGCCTTGTAACTGGCAGGTAATCTCTAGGTGATACTTTGGATTCATTTGAATATTCCATTCCCCAGTAACCTTTCAGCCAATGATTTTAGCATCCACTGGTGATCCTTGGCTGAAATTGGTGATTACCTTGAAAGTTATAAAACAATGATTTTCTACTTCCGCCATTCCTTCTATTTTTATTTAACTGGTATTCTTTCATACAGAGGCTTTCCTTTTCTCCTCGCCCCCTACTTCAGAACTCTGGAAAAAAGAGAAAGCCAGTGAGCCTGTGTGTGTGTGTGTGTGTGTGTGTGTGTGTGTGTGTGTTCACAAGCACACTCTTCAACATGTGCATATTGAGCATGTTACAAGGCATAGTCATTGTTCTTTTTGATGTTCACGTTGTCCCAGGTATGGCCAGTGGGAGCTCCTTGAAGCTGGCTTCTCTGTCTTTTTGAGCACTTCCTTGTTTTCTGGCACAGGAAAGTGTCTCAGGCTTATTTTATACTTTTCCTGCCTAAGGCCTAACCATTTCTCTGCCATACGCTGTTCCTTGTACTAAGAAATTGTATTTAGGGGCGCCTGGGTGACGCAGTCGGTTAAGCGTCCGACTTCAGCCAGGTCACGATCTCGCGGTCCGTGAGTTCGAGCCCCGCGTCAGGCTCTGGGCGGATGGCTCGGAGCCTGGAGCCTGTTTCCGATTCTGTGTCTCCCTCTCTTTCTGCCCCTCCCCCGTTCATGCTCTGTCTCTCTCTGTCCCAAAAATAAATAAAAAACGTTGAAAAAAAAAATTTAAAAAAAGAAATTGTATTTAGAAACTAAGATCTGGATGCTAGGGGCCACCCATTGTTCCTAGAGTTTCATTGCTTCTGTGCGCTTTCAGGGGACACAACTAAAAATGAGTATCTTTTAAATATTAGAGGGATAATGTAGGAAATAATATTTTTTAAAGATCATGAGTGTGTATTGATTTGTCTCATTCAAACTGACATTTCTTTTTATTTGTATCTCCTCTACAGTAAAATTTTGGTCACTGTAAAATTAATATATGTATTTACTTTATGCTATGTAAGATACACATAATATTTCAGAATTTTAGTATTAATATTCCTGACACTAAGCCTTCCAAACAAAGTTGGGGATTTCTTTGCAGTTGTTTTTGTCATTAGAAGTTAGGTTTATTTGTTTATGTCTGCATTAAGTTTTAGAGTTTGTTTTGAAAATTTTAGTCTTTAATGTATATGACATATTGACGCTTCAGAGGACTCGTCCCCATGCCCCTCACCTGCTGCTGCCCACCCCTTAATAGATGATGGTTTTTTTTAGTTTCCACTTTACCTTTACGTGTGGAAAGAAGCCGATGTATATCCCCCCCCCCCCCCCCATTCCTATGTGTATTACCTTATTTCTTTTTCTTACACCAGGTCACACTCTAAGTACATTTCTTTTGCAGCTTGCTTTTACCTTTTTTTTTTTATGGCTCGAGTGCTTGATGGCAAGGGTGTGCCATCATTTATGCAACCAACCTTGGCGGGGGGTGGGGGGCGGTGCTGAGTGTTTCTCATATTTTATTGTTATACATCCATGAATAAGCTGTATGTTGGTTTTGCCTGTGGGGGTGTAGCTTGTAAAGGAATTCACCATGTTTTTTCTTCTAGTACTTGTTTGATTTGATTCTCTGTGTTTAGGCGTCTGACTCATTTGAAGTTTATTCTTGTGTATGCTGTCGGGTTTGCATCCACTTTTATCATTTTCCAAATGGCAGTCAGTTCTCTCAACATCACTTATTAAAAAGTCCACCTTTTCTCCTTCAGAGAAGGAAGGCAGAGGAGTCTCTGGTTTTAGAAAGAAAAAAAGTTCACAAAATGAGCCCTCTGATGTTTGATCTAAGAGTGTCTTCAGTGTCGGTTTTATTGCCAAGAGGCCGAATGGGAGAATGAAGCTCGACCCAGAGTCACAGACGGGCTCCCTAATATAATGGAATTTACAAGCCCCAAATTACAGGCCCCTACTTTCGGGGACAGATTCTGGTCTAGCACATTTCCTGTGAGGGCGGGCAGAGAGGCCCATCGTGAGAACAGCCTCTCTAAAAGAGCAGCACTGTGTTTCCATGAGCTGCCAGTTCATTTAGAGTTCAGATACAGAGCTAATAAGATCCAAGGCCACAGACTTCTCATCCGACACCCTTCAACAGAAATGACAATGCACATGGTTTGCTTTTCATTGTGAGGAGCGGTGTTGGAGAAGAAGACGCTGGAATGAATGGCTTACGCAGTTGTCAAGGTGGCGGCGTACGGGGAGGCGAGGGGCATTTGGAAACGTGGGGGTGAGATTTGTCATAGGCACCGGGGATGTTACTGGCATAGGTTGTGGAGAAGGGCCGGCGTGCTGAGTGACCTGCAGTCCAGGGGAAGGGGAGGGCTGCCTGCACCAGAGCTGTCCCACTCAAAATGCCAGTAGCATCCCCATTGAGAAACAGACATTTAGGAGAACTTGGCTGGAAAAAATGTAGCTTAAAAGCCTCTCACAACTTCTAGGAAGAGTTCAAAGAGTGTCAGAAAACGTCGGGGCTGTCACGGTGGATGAGACTTAGAGCCTGCTCTTTTCGGTGTTCAGTCTTTGATATTTGCACCGCCAGCGGGGAGTTCGAAGGGGTGCTCTTGCGCACAGAGGTTGCAGACGAGTGCCTCTCGTTTGCTTTCAAAAAAGAGAAGTTTGCGTTATCACCTCCGTGTTTCAAAGTTGTTAATAACCAGTTTAATAGTTACAAATTATTTTTATTTGGGGGGATGTGGATGTGGTGATTTTACTATCCCATTGAAAAGATTATGAGATGAGATAATGTGATAATGTGTATGAAACTCTTACTTTGCAATCTGGCATGTAGTAAGCACTCAGTCACTTGTGTTTATATTAACTGTTAATGAACCTTTGTGTGTCTTTTCAGAGAGCTATTGCTTACCTTTTTCCAAGTGGTTTGTTTGAGAAGCAAGCCAGGCCAATAATGAAGGTAGTTATCTTAATATTTTTTAAAAATTTCACTTCGGTTTCTATGTTACAGTAATTTATCTAATGCACTTTAATTTATTTTACAGCATCCTGAACAGATTTTTCCAAAACAGAGAGGTAAGTTGGCTCAAGAATGAATGAACAGCTCTTCCTGTACTGCAGTGTTACGTTGCGTATCTGCAGCCTCTCGCACATGGTGGAGATGCGCTCCTGTGTCATGGCCATCGTGAAGTCAGCCAGTGATATTTTATACCTAATGAGAAATGACTGCAATTTACGAACTGTTTTCTTAAAGTAAGTTATATTACAATCAGGTCAGGTTAGAGTTCGTGCCTTTACTAATGTCATACTAATCCGTTTGCATTCTAATATGCTTTTTTGAGGAAGAGTGTGGAACAGATCTGCTGAAGCCTAATGCAGTTTTTTTTTTACTTGAAAATTTAAAATTTTTGTTCATTTTGGAAGCATATTTTCACTGAATATAGATCCTCCCCCCCCCTTTTGATCTTTCCTTACTTTATTGATATAATTCCATTGTCTTTTGTCTTGCATTGTTTCTGATGAGCAGTTAGCCATCATTCTTGCCTGGCCCTCTGTTTTCTCTGGCTTCTTTTAAGCTTTCTCTTTATTTTTTAAATGTGTAAAATTACATCTTGAAGAAGACATACAAACCAGGAAATCATGTATTTATTGGTTGTCAGTTAATTTAAAAAGTACTAAAGCCAGAAATCACTTCTTAAAAACACTTGCTATTAATTTACATTTATTCATCAATCTTTTCCTATAACCCTAGAGGGTATTTTTCTTTGAGTAGGTATCTGTTTCTCCCTGTTTCTCTGGCATAACCCTGCTGTCGTTGACGTATCATCAAAGTGTTTTAGGTTTGGTTTCCTCACGGTGGAGCACAGAACTTAGACTTTCCAAGAAATCTGAGTGCAAAATATTTCTTCACTTCTGCAGACTTTTTCTCTAACCACACTGAAGATGGACAAACTTGGTTTTTTGGTAACCTGCCTTTCAGTTTTTCTAAAGCATTCAACTTCGTTTTCATAGATGCGAAAACTGTCTTTTCTGTTTCCACTCATATTTCATCCGTTTATGTAATACTTAACTCAGGTAACTACAGAAGGAGGTACAATTGTAATAAACGGGTTTGGGAACGAACACAACTGACTCTTAGTAAGCATGTAACTCAGCAGCAAAAATGTGCCCGATAGAGAAGAGCCCAGTAGCCGCAGATGCTCGATGTGCAGCTAGCATTCATTACTCAGTATCTAATTAGAGCTGATTAAATAGAGATTGGTAGGAGAGCAGATATTTCTATAAAAAATGTATTTGCGTTGCCTTGATACTTCTGCTAAGTCTTAACCTGTGTGCAGAGCCAGGCCTTCTTTCATTCTGCTGCTTCCCTTCTCTCTTCGAAATGAGAACTTGTATTTTGAATCCCGTTACAAGTGTTAGGGGTCTTTTTATAAATACATTCTGTCTTTTTATATTTTCTCATTTCTTTGACATGGTTGATTGTAAACTATAACACCAATTCAATTAATAGCTCTTGGAGACATCATACATGAAGGCTGTGTTACAAGTACAGGTCAAATTTAAAGATGCAGCTCACTTTAGAAATAAAACTGCATATACAAGGCATACACACCCAAACCTAGTGGTGTTTCTGTAAATGTGTAACTGATTTTTTTTTTCTTATTTTTAGTGGCTTGTCTATTTTTCAACCTCACAGGCTCCTCACTTACGCGTCTTCTTCTCTTTGTTCTGTGTATCTCTACTCTTTGCATCTCTTATGCATCCACCCCTCTGAGGCTGTTTCTTTCAAATCTCACCAGCTTCTCAGTATTAAAAGTTTGTTATTACATCACTTGGAATGCAACGCTGAAACTTCTAGAGATGCCTGCAGAATGCTTGTTATTTTGGAACTGTGTCAGTAGCAGTAGGATTTTATTACACTGCAGTTAACTGTATTTAAACAGGACTCCTTGAGAATTAGCAAATTTCCTTTTGCCACCTACCTACCAGTTTTGCTGTACTTTGTAAACATAGGCAAACTGATTTTTTTATGTTTAAAAATACCAGGGAAATTTAGATTTGACTAGACTATGATGTTTGGAAAGTGCCACCTCTTTATTAAAAGATGAAAGCTTCCAGATTGAGTTAACATAAAAATCCTGCTCTGCTGTTACAGGCAAGTGATAAAAATATCGGAAAAAAACAAAGATATATACCAGATTGGTGACAGGCTCAAGGAATAGCACCTAATACTAGATGAAATGGAATTCAAGGAGGTCGGGGAATGGTTCGATGAGACAAGAATGTTAATTTATATTGATAGGATCTAATATCCATTAAGTGGTTTTGACGACCATGAACCTTTTTGTACCAAGCATTTAGCATTGAAATGTTCATAGCAAAAGCTGTTAACTAAGGCTCTAAAGAATTTGAATAACACAGCATGATTTTATAGCTACACATACAAGTACAAAGAATACATTTTTCTGTATGGATGCTAATGGAATATTAATAGAATTATATAGGTCATAGAGAAAAATCTAACAAATTCCAAGAATTTATATAGATTAGATTTTCTGACTTAAAATCAACAGAACCATAAAACTGTTGGATTAAGGAGGAAATCCAAATTGAGATTACAGATTATTTAGAAATGTAGAACAATGAGAACGGTTCATAGCAAACCCAGTGGGATATGGGCAGGTGTTATACAGAGGCAAACATGTATTTGGCAGACATTAAGAAAGACTAGAAGTAAATGAACTAAGTATTCAGTTCAAGAATGTAGGAAAAGAACTCTATTGAATGAAGAAATTTGAAAGAAGAGGTAGGATAAATAAAACCAACTGGTTCTTTGAAAATTGATCAACTTCTGGCAAGTCTGGTCAAGGAGAAAGGAAAACATAAAAGGACAGTATTAAAATTTTAAAATAATATTCAGAGGGTATTATTAAAGTGTAAGATTGTTTTGGCGTAGCTTTATTCTAATTTGAAGAGTATCCTAAGTAATAAAAATGACCAGTATTTATGGAAACATAGAGCAAGTCAGGCCCAGCTCTTAGTGCTTTGTAGGTATGTCCTCCTAATCCTCACAACAGTCTTGTTAAGTAGATACCATCGTGTGCCTCATCTTACAGACGAAGGAATTGAAACACCAAGGACACACAGCTAGGAAGCGACTGAGGCAGGATGTGCACAGGCCCCAGCAGTCGTTGCTGCAAAACACTGCCGCACCCCACTGACTCTCACACAGGTAGTTTAAAGAAAAATATGATTCCCCAAATTGTCCTAATCAGGAGAATACCGGTTAGACTCAAAGCTAGAGAAGTCACAGGTAGTCAGAGAGGAGCAAAGCCCAGAGCTTCTGTCCATGAGGTCTGTCATACCTTGGCTAAAGCTTGAACTTTTTAACATGTCGCAGAGCAGAAAAAAAGAACGAAAGCTTGCAGAGTCACTTTAAAGGCTCACACAATTATTAGATCTAGACATGAATCGCATAAATACCTGTAGTCTGTTCTCACTAAATAAAATGATAGCAAACCAAATAAAGCATTATATGAAAAATGTGCCAGAACCTTTTTATCCCCAGGAATATAAGGATGGCTTAATATTAGGAATTTATTAATGTGTTATTTGAGTCAGGGCAAAAAACATTTTCATAGATGAAAAAAAGGTAATTTAACAAAATTCAGCGTTTTGGGGTTTTTTTAATGTTTATTTTGAGACAGAGAAGGAATGTGTGCATGCATGAGCTGGAGAGGGGCAGAGAGAGAGAGAGAGCGAGAGAGAGAGAATCCCAAGTAGGCTCCTTGCTGTCAGCACAGAGCCTGACCCGAGGCTTGATCTCACACACTGTGAGGTCATGACCTGAACTGAAACCAAGAGTGGGATGCTTAACTGACTGAGCCACCCAGGCATTTATTTTTTGATGAAACTCTTAAACTGGAAGTAAACAGAAACTTTCTCAGTTTGAGAAACAGAAACACATTAAATTAAAAAAAGCTATCATTGGATTCCTTTACCTTGAGTTCAGAAATAAGTATGTCTCCACTTGCCCCTGGTATTTGGTATTGTTTTGAAAGGCTTAAGCAGTAGGATTAAGAAAGGCACCGAAATTAGGAATAAGTCAATTATTATTTATAGAGGTTAGGACTGCCCACTTAGAAAATACAAAACCACAACCTTAAAAACTACATTAGATTTACAGTAGAATATCATTATCTAAATATCTGAATATTGGAAACATTCAAATTATCAATTATTCTAATTTTTGAAAATGATACTCCGTTACAAAAACATGCCGCAGTATCAGTGAAGGATGAAATGCTAAGCATGCAGAGATGATATGAGCATCCTGCCAGTTGATGACGAGGTCGTCAAAACCACACAAACCAGTATGGAATGGAGCGTAAGGATGATCTAATAAGTAACATGATGGTCTCATTGGTAACAAATAAATTGCGATTTTTTTTTTTCTCTGCCTGTATGTATTTTGGTGGACAGGAGCTGTTTTAAAAACACCAAATTACAACATTACAAATAAATTCATGTCTATGTGTACACATACAAAAATATGTGTCTGTGTGTATTCTATTTTTTTAAATACTTTTCTTCTGTATACTTCTTACTCATCTTTGTTCTAATCTTCCATCTATAATTAAATTATTAAAGGCTGCCCATAACTCCTTTTGCTAAAGTTTCCTTTGTCATCTCTTCATTGAAAGGAGTTCGTTTTCTAGTCGATTCTTCAAAGAGGGCTCATAGATACAAAAATTTTAGAGCTCTTATGTGTTTAAATTGTTTTCCTATAGCCTTGATACTTAAGGACAGCGAGGCTGGAGGGAAAAATCTTTGGTTCACGCTTTCTTTTCTTGAGTTTCTTGAAAGTGCTGCTCTGTTGTTGCTTTGCTTTGCCTGTTGTTCTTGAGAAGTCTCATATCAGTCTAGTTATCTTTCCTTAGGAGTCATTTAACCTCTTCCCCTGGTGGTCCTAGAGATTCCTTATCTTTGTTTAGTAACTTTATGAAAGTATGTCATTGAATTGACTGGTAAAGGTTAGCTTACTGTGCTGCTGATGAGCTCTTTCAGTATGTAGA